GGCGCCCCCTCCCAGCTCCCGACCCGCCGGCTTCTCCTCGGTCCGCAGGTCCCAGTGTTGCGATGTCGCCCAGACGGACCCCACGCGCGCCCCCGCTGCTGCTGCTGCTGCTGCTTCTGTCGCCGGCCGTGGTGAGCAGGACGGGGACAGGGTTCGCGATTAACCCTCCCGGGTGGGGTCGGGTGGGGGTCAGGACTCAGAAGAGTGTGGCAGAGTGGCCTTGGGCAAGTCGATGCTCCAGCCTCTGGGTCCTGATTTAGGGAAGGGAGAGAAATGGAGCCGGGCCTTCCCCGCAAAGCCCCCAGGGGAGGCGGGGCTGGAGGGGAGCTGCTACCCCTGCCCCAGGCTGTGCCCCTCACTGCCTCAGGCTGTGCCCAGCGGGGCCTATGGAAAGGGGGGCGCTGTGGTCAGACAGGGCCCCTGAGGTCCCCTAAACCACGCCCCACCCCAGCAGGTGGCTGGCTTCTGTCACCGAAAGGGAATTCTCGGAATCCGGAGGCAGAGGGGGTTGTGGGCCGAGGTCCCCCGAGCCCAGAGCTGCTGTCCCCTCAGGAGGGGCCCCAGGTCCAGCACAGGGTGGCAAGAGGAGGACAGGGCAGGCCAGGCCGGAGCCTGCATGGGCTGTGGTTTGAGGCCCTCGGGAATTTCCCTGGAAGGAGGAAGCATCTCGAAGCCCCTCCTTTTCTCTCCGGGCACAGTTTTAACACAAACGCTGTCCACGGGTAAAGGACCTGCTGTCAGACCGTGGCTCCCAATGAGTTTCCATCCCGCTGTGGCTCCCAGAGCGTGTTGCTTTAGTCTGAGCTCCAGTTTCTCTGGCTGAGAGAGGAGACAGATGCAGTTTGCAGCCCAGGAGATCCTGGGACTTGGGACTGGATGGCTCCCGCCAGGGGCGCCTGTGCTGCGGCATCTCTGTTCTCTACCCACAGACCCCCAGCGCCTGCCCTGCTCCCTGTCTTGGGAAAACCAAAGGAAGAGCCCCAGGCCTCCAGACAGCCCCTGGCGTCCTAACGGTCCCAGAGCCCTAGTTTCGCTTTTCCTCTCTCACTCTCCCCTCCCTCTTCTTTCCCTCCTCTCCCTGTGCTTCCTTTGCGGATGCTTCTCAGTGGGATGCAATCCAGTTTGGAAACTCCACTGTCCCGTAACTCAGGCCACAAGTTCAAAGGTCTCTTGCTGGCCAGGCCAGTGAAGCCAGCCATTCAGATTTGCACAAGAAAATAGCTGTGCATGGTGACGTGCTCCTGTGATTCCAGCACTCAGGAAGCTGAGGCAGGGGGATCGCTGTGAGTTCAAGGCCAGTTTAAACCACATAGTGAGGCCCTGTCTCAAAAAAATGAAGAAAACTTCCTTCGAGGCAGTGATTGGGCAGACATAGCAGAATCCAGGATTTCCCCTCCTTCTGCGGGAAGGCCCTGCCCCCACCGCTCCAGCACTGAACCCTCCGGAAGACGCAGTGGGGGCTCCAGGGCTGGCCCCTCCCCCCATGCCGGAAGTGACCTGGGGCCCAGGCCGGCCTCCCACCTGCTCTTCCCCCAGACCCTGCAGGAGAAAGTTGAAACACTGTCTCTTGAACTGCAGGATGGAGCCTTCTCAAGCCCCACCGCTCTTGGGCCCACCTCTGAGGCTCCAGAGCAACAGCAAGAGGAGAGCAGAGGCCCAGGTGTCCCTGAGGCGGCACCCACCGGAGCATCTGCCGAGTCCTCCACCCAGCCATCCGCCGACACCACAGCCGCGGCGGACTCGGCCGCTGCAGTGACGGCCACCAATGGCTCCAGCGCCCCATCTCCCACAGAGCCCTCCTGCCCTGGCCCCGTCGCCCCCTGCCCCAGTGCGGACACTCGGGTGGCTGAGGCCGTCCTGGGGGATGCGCTGACAGACTTCTCCCTGAGGCTGTACCGCGCCTTTGCAGCTGTGAAGAACACAGAAACCAACATGGCCTTCTCCCCCTTCAGCATCGCCAGTCTCCTCACACAAGTCCTGCTCGGTAAGGCTGCTCCTGCCTGCTCCACAGGTCCCACGCCAGATTCCTCCCCGAGCCCGTGCCCCAGGAAGAGGCAACAAAATGGGCACTGTGGGGGCAGGGTGCGGTTTACCTTTCATTCCTGAACATTTTGTAATCCCAGCACTCGGGAAGGCTGAGGCAGGAGGATCCCAAATTCAGGCTCAGCCTGGGCAACTTAGCAAACTGTCTCAAAGTAAAAAATTTTAAAAGGACTGGGCCAGGGATTTAGCCTCACAAGCACAAGGTCCCAAGTTCAATCCCCGGTTCCAAAAAAAACAATTGAAAAAGGACTGAGTGTATAGCTCAGTATGAAGCCCCTGGGTTCAGTTCTCAGTGCAAAACCAAAAGATCACCATGATTCAAGATGAGGCAGGGCAGGAGGGAGATGAAATCTTCCCAGACAGGGCTGGCTGGGAGCTGGGCTTCCCTGCTTTCCAGCTGCGTGAGGTTGGCCAGGGGCTTCAGCCTCTGTTCCTCAGGAAGATGGTGAAATCTCCCTCAAAGGATAAGAAGCAGAGAGCCTAGCACCTGGTCAGCCAGAGGCCAAAAAAATGTTAAACCCTCTGCCTCCCTCAGGACTTGTTACCCTAGAAATGGCACAAACAAATTACCACAAGCAGTGGGGATAGAGCAGGCCCTCCCTGTGGATTGGAATCCAGGGAGGCTGCTGGAGACAGGACCGTGAGCATGGAACTTTCTTCCAGGCCCGGCCTGGCGGTGCAGGTCTGTCATCTAGTATTCGGGAGGCTGAGGCAGGAGGATCACCAAGAGTTCCATGCTGGGATACATAGTAAGACCCTGTCTCAATAATAGTAATGATGATGATGATGATGAAGAAGAAATAAATAGTGGTCTGGTGTCCCCTGCCTGTACGGTGGAACCTTTGTGAACCCACACCAACTAAATAATAGTTCATGTGGAACAGGTGGTGGTCGAGGTTGGCTTTGAAAGACGCACAAGACTTAAACAGAGACCTCGGCAAGGAAATCCAAAGCCCTGGCAAAGCCTAACCCGGGCCTTCATATTTCCGAACCCCGTCTCTCTGACGCGTACTACAGGTGTGATCAAACTGCACGGCGAATGTTTAAGTAAAAATTCGTGGCAGCTGCTGCGGGTCCCCTCAGAACCCTCCCACTCGCTCAGACACCCCCACCGCGCTGACCACTTCCTACAGCAGCTCTGCAGTCCTCTTTCCCGAGCGTCTTTATGAGGTGCCGCTGCCACCCAGCAGAAAGCTCGAAGAACCCGGCGCTGTGTCCTCACCCACCGCAGTCACCGGATCTGAGACCCTGAGGCTTCTGGCTCCTCCCCAAAGTCACAGTGACCTCGAAACAGAAGCCTTTGGAATCCATTCAGGGCACTGAGGCGGCCGGAACAGCACCACTGCAGACCCTCAGGAAAGAGCGCTGCGGAGCTGCTGCACAAGTGTTGAGGGCAGTGGGATAAGCGCTGGAAGTGAGGGGAGGATTTTGAGGGTGTCCTCGGCAGTGTGCCTTCTATGGTAATAACTCTAATTTATTTGCTTTTTAAATAACTTGAGTTTAGACATTGCCCTGTTTGTCACTCACATCGTTTTCCAGCAGTGGCCTCACTCTGTCCCCCTGGGTCCCCTCCGCAGAGAGGATGCTGCAGTCCGCCCTCCTCGACCCCATCCATCTCTGCCTTTTCCACAGGGGCTGGGGACAGCACCCGCCGCGCCCTGGAGCGCGTTCTCTCCTACCCAGAGGACTTTGCCTGCGTCCACCAGGCCCTGAGAGCCTTCGCGTCCAAGGGCGTCACCTCCGCCTCCCAGATCTTCCACAGCCCAGGTGAGGGGGTCACTGGGAGGGGACAACGCTGTGGGGACGGGGGAATGGCAGGAGCTGGGTGTCTGTGATGAGGGCCTAGGCACAAGTTTCCAAAGGCTCCGGAGCTGCCGGGGAACCAGGCCAGGTTCCTTCCTAGGCTGTGCTTGAATATATGATCCTCCGGACTTAGCCTGAACTCCCTCTGCAGCCCAGGCTGGCCTCAAACTCACAGCAGTCCTCCTGCCTCAGCCTCCCTAGTGGGAGGATGACAGGTGTGCAGTACTACACCTGGCTTTCTGATCCATTTTATTCAGGAAATTTTTTTGTTTCAAACGCCATTTTCTCTGGAACTTGGGCTCTGGAGGTGAGAAGCCAAGGCCCCCAGGGCGGCGTGGGGGGGAACCTCCCCGAGTCTGTGCCCTGCTGAATTATGGGAAGAAAGAGGGAGAGCCAGGCGCATGGAGGTTAAGGGTGCACAGTCCCTCGCCCTGCGCTGGCCCATGGACAGGACCTGTCCTCCTGAGTGTGGCTCAGCGTTTGCCGTCTTTGGGGCTCCCGCCTGTCCCTCCTGGCCTCCGGGCTACGTGGGGCCAAGACAGAGCTCAGCACTCACCGCCCACCCACCTGCCCGCCCCCCAGACCTGCCCATCAAGGACAGCTTTGTGAACGCCTCCCAGCGGCTGTACGGCAGCAGCCCATGGGCACTGGGCAACGACACAGCCGCCAGCCTGGCGCTCATCAACGGCTGGGTGGCCGACAACACCGGGCACAAGATCAGCCGGCTGCTGGACAGCCTGCCGCCCGACGCCCGCCTGGTGCTGCTCAACGCCGTCTATCTGAGCGGTGAGGAGGCTCCAGGGGGGGTGGGGGGGCGGCACCCGAGGCCGCAGCCTGAAAGCCGCCCCTCCTCCCCTCAGCCAAGTGGAAGCAGCCCTTTGCACAGAAGAAGAAGATGGAGACCTTCCACCTCCGGAACTCAGTCATCCAGGTGCCCATGATGAGGAGCAAGAAGCACCCAGTGGCGCACTTCAGCGACCCCACCCTGAAGGCCAAGGCAAGTGCGCCCCCGCCAGGCCCGAGGCCGTGGTGCAGCCTGCAGACCCCCGCCGCTGGCTTCCGTCTCCGCTCTGTCTGTTCTCCTCTTTCCAGTCTTGGCCCGGCCGGACATTGCAAAGTCCTGACTCAGTTTCCCTGCTGTCTCTGCTGCCCCAGGTGGCCACAGTGGGTCGGGTTTCTGCTCCATGCGTCTGAGCCTCTGGCCATCAGCCCCCCAGGTGGGCTGCACACGTTCCACATGCACGTTTGTGTGTGCGTGTGTGAGTGTGTATGTACCGGTGTAAAGCATACGTGTGCGTGCACATACATACAGGTGTCCAGCCACAACATGTGTGTAGAGTTTGCACATCTTAAAAGGCTCAAATTCCTTAGCAGAAATTGAACAATGTAATGGGAATGGCTAGATCCAGGTGTGGTGGTGCACGCCTGTCATCCCAGCACTCTGGGAGGCTGAGACAGGAGGGTCGCCAGTTCAAGTCCAGCATGGGCAACGTGGTGACTTAGCGAGACCCTGTCTCAAAACAAATACAACAGAGGGTTGGGCATGTAGCTCAGTTTGAAGACCTGGTTTCAACCCCCGTTGTGGCAAATAAATGAAATAAATAATCATTTCCACGGGTGGGAGAGAGGGAAGACAGAAAGTGGACCTCAGAGGTTTCCAGGGAGTCGCGTGTCTGAGGCCGGTGGCCCGGTCTTGTGCCCTGAGAAGGAGAGGTGGGTGCGAAGAGAGACAGCAGAGCCTTGAGGCCTCGCAGACAGGTGGGGTGGGGTCCCGTGGGCAGAGCATCTGCTCCTCCTGGCGTCCCTGCCCGGCGCGCCCTCTCAGTCTGTGCAGAGCGTCTTCCTCTGGTTCTCTGGGTCCCTGGCGAGGCCGAGAGGCCGTTCGCCTCCGGTGGCCGCCTGCTGCCCTGGAACCCTGTGTTACCACGTTCTGTTTCCCCTGCTGGCTGCTCTGTCCCTCCCGAGATGTCACTGTCTCCCGCCCTGGGATGTGGCCTCCACCCTTGAGCAGAGGACTCTGTCTTGTTTCCTTCTGAATCCAGACACAGTCAGGAGACCCTGAATTGTTTGCCAAGTGAATAAATAAATGCACGGAATAGAGGGGAATGGGGAGCCACTCACTGCACGCGAGCAGCTGAGGACGCTTCCTCGAGAGGTTGCTTTCTACTGTTCATTTTTCTGATTTTATTTTATTTGTTCATTTATTTATTTTGAGACAGGGCCTCACTGTGTAGTTTAAGCTGTTCTGGAATTCCCAGTGATCCTCTTGCCTCGGCATCCCGAGTGCTGGGATGACAGGCATGTGCCACCACCCCCGCCTCTCAACCATTCTCCACACACTTATTTAGCTATCCCTGGGCTTAGCCAGCCATCCTGAACGTGGCAGACCTTTTTCTGTCATTATTCCCTAAACAATACAAGAGAGTGCTGCTGTCGTGGGTATTAGAACTCATCCAGAGGCGGACGATGGAGAGTGTAGAGGAGGGTGTGCACAGGTCACACGCAGACAGGATGGCGTGACAGAAGGACGTGGAAGAGCAGAAGCAGTCAATGGCGCAGCAGGCAAGAGGCAGCAAGCAGCAGCCTCCCTTTCCCTTTTATGCCGTCTGTTGGTTGATGGCACCCACACCCAGGTTGGGGTTTTCCTCTTCAGGAACCCCATTACCCACACCTGCCTGAGAGCAATCAATGGACCAGTCTATTCATCACACCCCATGATCCAGCCACCACCCAAATGCTCCACCCATGCGCTGGAGAGGCTTTGAGGACGATCTAGACATAAACCATAACAAGGAGAAAGAATTTTGTTCACAAAAACCACTATTACATTTCCTTGAGTTTTTGAATAGATATTTAACTTAATGTATCAACATTATAAATACAGGGCAAGCTAGGTGTGGTTCTGTACACCTATAATCCCAACACTCTAGGAGGCTGAGGCAAGAGGGTCACAAATTCAATTCCAGCCTGGGCAACTAAGCAATTTAGCAATATCCCATCTCAAAATAAAAAATTCAAAGAAGGTCTGGGGATGCAGCTCAGCGCAAAGGCTTTGGGTTCAATCCTTAGTACTGCATGCATAAATAGGTGGATCGATTAATTAATCAATTCAGAGTTGGGGATATAGCTCTGTAGGAGATCATTTGCCTAGCGTGCTTGAGGCTCTGGGCCTAGCAGCCCTCCCAACCCCATAATTACAAACTCAAAATCAAAGTCTTGCTTATGCCTTTGAATTTTAAGCTGAACTCTTGACATTATAATTATAACAAATTTTACTAAAAAACACTTTCCTTGAGTCATATAGAGCAGATTATACTTTTTAATTGTTCTATTCTCAAACATAGTTCATTAACAATCCCAAGGCATCACACGCTCCCTTTATAAATGTAGTGCCCTTCATTTTCTCTGTAACCCATCCAGGGCCTGACAAGCACAATCCGGCTGGGTATGGCCACGTCATGCCAGGCCCCAGAGCCCACTTGCAAGCTGAAAATTAAATTGATGAGTAAATCAACCTCCACCCCATATTTCAGTATCATTCCCAAATTAATAAAGTTTTCCTGTACCTTTCTGCTTAACAGCGTTAAAACTAGCATGCCAGAGGCTCTTAAAACTTACAAACACTATTGTATTCATTCATTCGTTCTTGCTAAGATACTGAATTGCTAAGATACTGAATTGCCCAGGCCGGGTGCGAACTTACAATTCAGATCTCCTGCCTCAGCCTCCAAGAATGCTGGGATTACTCTGAGTTTCACACCTGCTGTTAATATGTCAAGTTTCCTAACTCTTCCTGGGATTGGTGGATATTTACCCAAGCGAGGGGGTTAGATTTACTGAACCACTATGCTAAGACAGCTGGCTTGAAAATGCAATTCCAGGGCTGGGGATTTAGCTCAGTGGTGTCACTGCATGCCCTGCAAAGGCAAGGCCTGAGTTCAATCCCCGGTACCAAAATGAAAAAAAAGGAAAAGAAAATTCCAGTCCACCGAGGTAAACTTTTAGTCAGTGTCAAAGTCTATCCCAGGAGCCCAGAGGCGCAGTGCCACTCAAATGTGCCGTCTTTGGCTGCGGCTTCAGGGCCCCATTGTTCGTCCTCCTCGGTTAAGGTCTGTTTGTGACCTGCTTCCTGAGGGCCACGCTAGGCTCCAACCTCGGCCACTTTCCCACTCACCCCTTGTTGAATTCCGCCTGCTTCTGGGTTCTTTCCTCTGTCTTCCGTGTGGCCGTCACTGGGGTTTCAGCCTCGCCGCGGCCCTGCAGTGCTGGGTGCCTCTCCACTGTGCACTGGCCGGTCTCGCGACCCTTCCATCCCACTCATCCGCAGCCAGGAGCGGGGTTTGTGTGTCCTCCCAGGCCCTGCCAGCTGTGGAAAACAAAGCCTAGATGTCACCAGATATCCTGTGGGGGGCAAAGTCACCATGGGTCAAGAACCCGTGTATTAGGACCATGAGTCCTGAGCCAGGCATGGTGGTACACACCTGTCATCCCAGCCCTTGGGAGGCTGAGGCAGAAGGATTGCCACAAGTTCAAGGCCAGCCTGGGCTCCATGGTGAGACTTTGTCTCTAAACAACAAAGCTAGAGGCCAGTGCGGGGAGACGGCGGGGCGGGAGAGAGCTGGCAGAGCTGACCAGTGCCCGTTGGTTCCCAGGTGGGGCAGCTGCAGCTCTCTCACAACCTGAGCTTCGTGATACTAGTGCCACAGAGCCTGCGGCAGCCCCTGGAGGACCTGGAGAGGGCGCTGAGCCCTGTGCTCTTCAAGGCCATCATGCGAAAGTTGGAGATGTCCAAGTTCCAGCCCACGTACCTGACCATGCCGCGCATCAAGGTGACAGGCAACCAGGACCTGCTGCCCATCATGGAGAAGCTGGGTGAGGCCTGTAGGAGCGCTGTGGGCCGGGGGAGGGAGGGCAGGCCCTGTGCCCAGGGCAGTAACAGTTCTAGAGTCTGTCTTTGTTTTTCATTGTACTGATTTATTGATTTATTTGGGGGTTTTTTGAGACAGGGTCTCACTATGTAGCTCAGGCTGGCCTCAAGCTTGTAGCGATCCTCCTGCTTCAGCCTCCCAAGTGCTCAGATACCATGCATGCGCCCTGCCTGGCCTAGGGAAAGTCCCGGAGCCCCCACTTCCTAACCTTGGACCCCATGTCCTGGTCCTCCGCTCCTGCTGCAGGGCCTGCCCGCGCCTCACAGGGTCTCCCGTCCCACCTGTGGCATCTGTGCAGGAAAACAATTTCTCTCCTCATCTCCACTTCGGCCGCGGCCAAGCAGGTCTCAGGGTCTCTGCAGACTCTGCCAGAGATCCCCGCCCTCCTGCCTCAGGCAGTGCGGACCCCACACTGGAGGCTCCGCC